GGTGAGTCCTTTTGTTTAGGGATTTAGCTGGCCCAGGATGTGAGAGAATGCTTCCACGGGCCCTGAGATGCTGGGTTCACGAAGAGGTGACATTTCATATTTCATATAGGGATATGGGGCAGGGGAAACATACAAGGAGTTCATAAAGGTAAAATCGTGCAAACTGCAAAGGGAATCATGCCAGCCCTCCCTCCAGAGTCCATCAAAGGTTCATATAGATCAGTGAAATATCATAAAAGTTCATAAGGGTTTGGTATAGGGTCCATAAGAGTTCCAAAGTCTATGAAAAATTGATTAAAAGTTTTTTAAAGTTCATAGAAAGTCCATAAAGTGTAGGTTACAGGGGCATTGCCATGTGGGGCCATGGGGTCATGGAAAGAGCCTTAGGTTCCCACATGGGGGAGAGATAGGGGATTATGGGATAATTCCAGCCTGGTGTCCTTGGTAAAACTATTAATTTCTTGGTTTTGAACCATCCTTTATAGAGTCCTGGGAAGGGGGTCACCTCCGATATCAGTATATTATCTATAATACATTAAATATTACTGATATATATATATATATATATATATATATATATATATATATATATGTGTGTGTGTGTGTGTGTGTGTGTGTGTGTGTGTGTGTGTGTGTGTATGTGTGTGTGTGTGTGTGTGTGTGTGTGTGTGTGTATATATATATATATATATATATATATATATATATATATATATAATATCATATTAGTCATATTATCCAACCCCAAGCCTGCTGTTTTTTCACCGTGATGGGAGTCCCCTCAGCAGGTACCAGTTTATGGCCGTCTTCTGCAGATCCTTGATGGACTTGGCTCTCTCGTATGCTGAATTTGGGGGGCATTCCCAGCTGCAGAGGGAGTCCTGGTAGACATCATTAAGACCATGGAAGACTGGAAGTCTTCCGTCTATGCCTCATACATCTGACTGGGCCTCCTCCTTGAAGGAACACAGACTGCTGGGTGCACTTTCTCTCTCCCAAAGGGCTGCTGCTCAAGACAAGAAGAGAAAAGGTAGTTGCAAGGGACATGAGACTACCATGGGCACTGGGGACATGTTGCATGGGGTGCTGGTTCACACAAGCCGCACCAGCTGAACAGCATGCCTCTAGGACCGTTCGGACTTCAGGATGGCATACTTTGAACTGACTGGACAGCTGGATGGCAAACTTCGGACTGTTGAACTGGTGCACTTTGGGATCATTTGGACTGCTTCTGTGGGGGCTGTTGTTGAATGCAGGGTCTGTTGTACTTCGGGGACTGTTTGGGCTTTGTTTAGAGCACTACAGGGACTGTCTGGACTATTGAGTTTGTTGGTTACAGAGGGGCAGGGTTGGCAGTGGGGGTCCAACCCCCCCTTTTGTGGTGTGGGGCATAGGCCCTGGATCTGGCTTGCTTATTTCCCTCCACCACCCCACCACCCCATTGGAGGGGAGGAACGTCCAGTAGTTTTCCAGGGGTGCGGCAGTAACTGTGTGTATTGTGCCAGTTGGTAACAGCAGCCCCTCCTGGTGTGGTTAAGTGGTGTATCATTAATGGTGTAATATTAGAAAATGTTGACCATTTCTGCTAACTTGGCAGTCACCTCTCCACTCCAATATGAACTCCAATATGCTGATTATAACATAATCTGTGCACATTTAGAAGAAGACCTACAAGCCACTCTAAATACCTTTGCAGAAGCATACGAGAAGCTGGGCCTGTCATTGAACATCGAGAAAACCAAAGTTCTCTTCCAGCAGTCACCAGCCAATCCATCTGCAATGCCAGAAACACAACTTAATGGTGTAACATTAGAAAATGTTGATCATTTCCGCTACCTTGGCAGCCACCTCTCCACAAAAGTCAACATTGACACTGAAATACAACATCATCTGAGCTCTGCGAGTGTTTGAGGACCAGGACATCCATAGGGATACCAAGGTGCTTGTCTATAAAGCTATTGTCCTCCCAACCCTGCTATACGTCTGCGAATGTGGACTGCCTGCAGACATCACACTCAACTCCTGGAATGATTCCATCAGCATTGCTTCCAAAAAGTCCTGCAAATCTCTTGGGAAGAGAGGCAGACAAATGTCAGCGTGCTGGGAGAAGCAAAGATCACCAGCATTGAAGCGATGTGCCTACGCCATCAACTCCGCTGGAATTGCCATATTGTCTGAATGCCAGATCACCGTTTCCCAAAGCAGTTGCTATACTCCCAACTCAAGAATGGGAAAGGTAATGCTGGTGGACAGGAAAAGAGATTTAAAGATGGGCTTAAAGACAACCTTAAAAAATGTGACATAGACACCAAGAACTGGGAAGCCCTGGTCCTTGAGCGTTCTAACTGGAGGTCAGCTGTGACCAGCAGTGCTGCAGAATTTGAAGAGGCACGAATGGAGGGCAAAAGGGGAGAAATGTACCAAGAGGAAGGTGCGTCAAGCCAACCCTGACCGGGACCGCCTTCCACCTGTAAACCAATGTCCTCACTGCAGGAGAACATGCAGATCCAGGACCCATGAGCGACAGGCAACCCTGTTTATTTATTATTTATTTATTTACTATATTTTTATACCGCTCTTCTCAGCCCTCAGGGCAACTCAGAGCAGCTAACAAAGCAAATACAATACTTAAACATGATAAAACAGTTAAAAACAAGTTAAAAGAATAACATTATAACAATCAATAAACATCATAACATCTCATCTCGTCTCATAGTTAAAATCAAGATCCAGTCTATCATCTAAATGTTCCATATTTCTGTATTAGTTACACTGCCTATTCAAATGCCTGCTCAAACAACCAGGTCTTCACTTTCCTCCGAAATGTGAACAGGGAGGGGGCTGATCTAATTTCTGTGGGAAGGGCGTTCCACAGAAGAGGGGCCACCACTGAGAAGGCCCTGTCTCTCGTCCCCGCCAACCGTACTTGTGATGCAGGCAGGACCGAGAGCAGGGCCTCCCCAGACGATCTTAACGTCCTAGCTGGTTCATAGGAGATACGTTCGGACAGGTAAGTTGGGCCAGAACCGTTTAGGGCAGGGGTCCTCAAACTTTTTAAACAGAGGGCCAGGTCACAGTCCTTCAAACTGTTGGAGGGCCAGATTATAATTAGAAAAAAAATGAATGAATTCCTATGCGCACTGCACATATTTTATTTGTAATGCAAAAAACACTTTAAAACAATACAATAATAAAAATGAAGAACAATTTTAACAAATATTAATTTATTAGTATTTCAATGGGAAGTGTGGGCCTGCTTTTGGCTGTTTGTTTGTCGTGTCAGGACAACCAGTCAAATTATATTACATTTCTAACAGAACAAAGCAAACAAACAAACAAACAGACAAAATACAAAAATTGTGAGTTTGGTAGTTGATTAAATGTCCTTTGGCCAGTATCTGGCCACTTGGAGTGCTTCTGGTGTTGCTGCAAGAAGGTCCTCCATTGTGCATGTGGCAGGGCTCAGGTTGCATTGCAGCAGGTGGTCAGTGGTTTGCTCTTCTCCACACTTGCATGTTGAGGATTCCACTTTGTAGCCCCATTTCTGAAGGTTTGCTCTGCATCTCGTTGTGCCAGAGCGCTGTCTGTTCTGCGCCTTCCAAGTCGCCCAGTCTTCTGTGTGCCCAGGGGGTAGTCTCTCATTTGGTATCAGCCATTGGTTGAGGTTCTGGGTTTGAGCCTGCCACTTTTGGACTCTCGCTTGCTGAGGTGTTACAGCGAGTGTCTCTGTAGATCTTAGAAAACTATTTGGCTGATGACACAGGATTGTTGTTGTTGTTGTTGTTGTTGTTGTTGTTGTTGTGTGCTTTCAAGTCGTTTCAGACTTAGGTTGACCCTGAGCAAGAGCCGGGTAAATGACCTTGGAGGGCTGCATCCGGCTGCATCCGGCCCCGGGCCTTAGTTTGAGGACCCCTGGTTTAGGGCTTTATAGGCTAAGGCCAGCACTTTGAATTGTGCCCGGTAGCAAACTGGCAGCCAGTGGAGTTGGCGCAACAGAGGAGTTGTATGCTCCCTGAGAGCTGCTCCTGTTAGTAACCTGGCTGCCGAGCATTGGACCATTTGAAGCTTCTGGACAGTCTTCAAAGGCAACCCCATGTAGAGAGCGTTGCAGTAGTCCAGAGCATAGACTACCGTGGCCAAGTCAGATTTCCCAAGGTACGGGCGTAGCTGGCACACAAGTTTTAATTGTGCGAATGCTCCCCTGGTCACCGCTGAAACCTGAGGTTCCAGGCTCAGCGATGAGTCCAGGATCACACCCAAGCTGCGAACCTGCGTCTTCAGGGGGAGTGTAACCCCATCCAACACAGGCTGTAACTCTACACCCTGTTCGGCCTTGCGACTGACCAGGAGTACCTCTGTCTTGTCTGGATTCAATTTCAATTTGTTCGCCCTCATCCAGACTGTCACAGTGGCCATGCACCGGTTCAGGACCTGAACAGCCTCCTTAGTAGCAGGTGGAAAGGAGTGACAGAGTTGGACATCATCCGCGTACAGATGACACCGTACCCCGAAACTCCGGATGATCTCCCCCAGCGGCTTCATGTAGATGTTAAACAACATGGGAGACAGTATTGAACAGGTGTCTCCCAATAACACCTTCTGAGAACAACCCTCTAGGAAGGACTGGAGCCATTGCAGAACAGTCCCTCCAAGGCCCATTCCCGCGAGGCGTCCCAGAAGGAGACCGTGATTGACGGTATCGAAGGCCGCTGAGAGGTCCAGCAGAACTAACGGACACATTGCTCATTTGTAATCGATAAACAAGTGTGTGTGTCATCATTGGGCTTGCTGGTGTATAGACAGAGAGTAACATTTCATATATATTCCTGGGGTTTCTTTTTTTTTTTTTTGGTTTTCTTTCTTTCCTGGATCCTGGGTTCAATCCTTCTTAATGTATTTGTTTTAAAGTTAAATATTCTCCCCTGTTTGTTTTGTTTCCCACCTCCTCCTCCTCCTCCTCCTCCTCCTCCTTCCACTAGGCCCGGCCCAGCCCCACCCTCGCGTGGCCTGCCAATCTGGGGGAGGGGAGGGACAGCCCGCCGGGAGGGAGAACTTGAGCCCGAGGCGCAATGGAGGAGCCCGTCACCGGCCCAGAGGGACAACCACGGTACTATGCCTGCTGAGGGAGAAGCCGAGCCAAGCCAATCACATCCTATCCAATAATAATAATAATAATAATAATAATAATAATAATAATAATAATAATAAGGCTCCAAGAATATCCTATAATATTTATACTATTCAGAATGTAATAGTATAAATCTTTGATCTCTGATTGTTTTTAAATTGTTTTAAATTGTGTTCGATTTTAGCCTGTTCTTGTAAGCCGCTCCAAGCCCCAGGGGAGTGGCGGCATATAAGTTCAAATAATAAATAAATAAATAATATTGATAATATTTAGAATGTAATATTGATATATATAATATAATACCTACAATTGAGGAGTTGTGGTCCCAGGAATATGATATAATATAATATATACTATTATATTGATAATATAATACATACAATAGAGTTCCAGAGTAGTTATGGTCCCAGGGATATAATATGAATATAATATTCAGAATGTTATATTGATAATATAATATATCTACAATATAGTTATGGTCCCAGGTTGAGACTATTTATAATATAATAAAATATAAATTTTATAATATATACAGTATGGCTACAGGTTTAGAATATTTATAATATAATATTATTATTATTGACTTTATTTATACCCCGCAAAATCTCTCGAAGGACTCGATGCGGCTTACAAAGGCCAATATACAATTATAATATATAATCGTTGCATAGTAGTTATGCAAGTTATAGAATATTCGTAATATAATATATTATTTACAATATTTTACATATATAAAGAGTTGCATAGTTGTTATGGTTCCAGTTATAGAATATTCATAATATATTGTTTTTATCTATCATCTACACCTATAGTTGCACAGTAGTTATGCAAGTTATAGAATATTCATAATATAATATATTATTTAGAATATATATAAAATAAAGTTAATATATCACAAAATAAATATGGTATATTATATGTTTAGCATTATTATCGTATCTTACATGTTATTATATCTGATTGTATTATCATATATTAGTAATCATATTATATATATATAATATACTGTAATATATATTTATATAATAAAAATAATAGATATATAATATGAATATATAAAATAATATAAATATGGTATATTTCGTATATATTTCACATTATTATATTATATTATTACATGTTATTATATTATCATATATTATTATAGTCTATTATATATATATATATAATATTTTGTAGTGTATATATATTATAATGTAAGTATTGTGTTAGCATTATTATATATTTAGCATTATTACAGTCTTTTATGTATATAATATACTGTAATATATATATATATGAAATAAAAGTAGTATATAATACTATATATAATACAATAATATTTAAAATATTATAAATATGGTATATTTATTATATAGCTAGCATTATTATAGTATTTTATTATAGTCTATTATATATATTATAATGTAATTATATATATAAATAAAAATAATATAATGGTATATTTATTATTATATGTTTCGCATTATTATAGTATGTTAATATATCATTGCTATGTATTAACATACTATAATAATGAGAAACATAATAATATCATCTGATATTATTATAGTATGTTTTGTATGTGATAATGTAATAATAAAATATTTAATAATAATAAGAAAGTATTTCATAAGAATAAAATATAATACTAATAAAATATAATAATAACTGTAATAATAAAATGTAATAATAAACTATAATAATACATTATAATAAGAATAAAATATAATAATTATATATAAAACAATAAATATAATAATATAGTATATGGTTATATCATTGTTATTCTAGTATATATTATTACAGTATGTTATGTTGTATATTACATAATAAATAAAATATTTAATAAGTATAATAAGAATAATAAAATATTTAGTAATAAATATGATAATAAAATATAATAATAATAATAATAATAATAATAATAATAATAATAATAATAATAATTGTTATTTTCTGGCTCTTCCTCCATTGCTTAGGTCCCTGGAGCTACCTCCTTCGGCTGTCAGTCAGGCTGCCACCCACCTTTTTGAGTTGCAGGGCTATGGATTTGGCGCCTGCACAGAGCAGCTGCGCCCCCCACGAATCGTGCGCCTCGGGCTCATCCAGAACAAGATAGTCCTCCCCACGGATGCCCCTGTGGCCCAGCAGGTCATTCACATTCATGAGAAAAATATATCATAATTGTAATATAATCATTACATAAAATAATAATAGTAATTAATAATAGAATATTAAATAGTCATAATATAATAAAAGTAATGATATAAAATAATACTATTATTTAATAAAAGAAGAGTATTATATCATAATCATATATAATGTAATCATATATATATATTGTTGTTTTAATTGTTTTAATTGTTTAACCGTTTAACTGCTGTTTTTATACGTTTATTGTATTTGTGTAGGCATCGAATTGTGCCATTTTGTAAGCCGCCCTGAGTCCCCCCTCGGGGGTTGAGAAGGGCGGGGTAGAAGTATACGAAATAAATAAATAAATAATATAATAATATAATAATGATATAAAATAATAATAGTATTTAATAATATAATAGTATTATATAATATTAAATATATAAGTAAAATATAACATATTAACATAATCGTAAAAATATATAATAATATAAAATAATAAAATGGTATTATGTAATAATCCTAAAATATATATAATGATAATTATATAAAATAATAGTTTTAAATAATAATAATAATAGTATCAAATAACAGTCAAATATATCATAGAATGATATAAAACAATTAACATTAATTCAATATATATAAGAATAATAATAAAAGTGTAAATATAAAAATAAAATCATAGTATATAATAATATGTGTTATATGATAAATGTAAAATATATAATATAAATATAATAATGATATAAAATAATAATAGTATTTATTAATAGAATAGTATTATATAATCATAACAAATAAGTAAAATATAGAACTGTATAATAGCAAAACTAATAGCATTATATAATAATTGTAAAATATATCATACAATAATTGTAAAATATATTATAATTACATAATAAAAGTATTAAATAATAGAATGATATTACAAAATAATCATAAAATATATTGTATAATAATTATATAAAATAATGATATTCAATAATATCAGTCAAATATATTGTAGAATGATATAAAATAATTCTATATATATATATATATATATATATAAAAACAATCGTAAGTGTAAATATAAAATAATAAAATCATAATAGTATGTAATAATATAGTATATAATAATAGTAAAATGTAAAACTATATAACAATAATATTATAAATGTAAAATATATCATAGAATGATATAAAATAATAATCATATTTAATAATAGTATATATAGTATAATATATATAGCATATAATATATCATAATGATATCAAATAATTTACATTAATTCAATATACATATAAGAATAATAATAAAAGTGTAAATACAAAATACTAAATAAATTCATAATACTATGTAATAATATAAGAATTTTATATAGTAATTGTAATAATAATAATAATAATATGAAATAATTAACCGTCCTTGACTAACATGAATAATTAATAAGAATTGACAAATTCATGTATCCCAATGGGGGTCAGGCTAGGCCCCGTTGTTTCTAGGTAACTTCTTGTTCCTAGGCAACGTTTCCTCGTTCTCTTCCTAAGGGTCAAAGTGCAGGGTTCAAAGGTCAGAGGGAGGTGTCTATTTTTAGACTGTCTGTTGACACACTTCAGAACTCCCATCTGCTTGTTTGCTTTCTTTTACGGCTGGAATAAAAAAAATACCTGCAGTTAGAATATAATGTAATATACCTGCAATATACCTGTAATGGAAATATAATAATATTATATTATTAAATACTATTAAATAATTATTATAGTATTATATGATAATGTAACATATATAATAATATAATAATGTATATATAATAAAAATAGACTGAAATAATAGTATATCATATTAAAAGTGGAAAGATAAAATAATAGTATTATATAATACCATAATTTTATTTATATATATATATATATATATATATATATATATATATATATAGGCTTAAATAATACAAATAAATGTAATATTGTAATAATAAAATAATATGTAATAAAAATAGAAAGGAAGATAAAATCATAATGGTATATAATAGTATCATATAATAATGTGAAATATAGAATCATATATTAGTATATAATAATATGAAATATAGAATCACATAATAATAATATGATAGTATATAATATAATAATAAATATAAAATCATGACAGTATATAATACTATTATATAATGATATGAAATATATAATCATAATAGTATATAATATTCGAATAACAAATAATATATAATAAAAGTATAAAGATAAAATCATAATAGTATATAATAGATTATATATTTCACATATAGTAATGTGAAATATATAATCATATAATAGTATTATGTAACGATGTGAAATCTATAATCATCTAATAATAATAGATTAGTATATAATATAATAATAATACAAATAATATCTAAAAAAAGTAAAAATATAAAATCATAATCGTATATCATAGTATTATATGTTCGGAACCCCAGGTGGCCCAATAGGTTAAACCCTTGTGCCAACAGGACTGAAGACTGACAGACTGGAGGTTCGAATCTGGGGAGAGCGTGGATGAGCTCCCTCTGTCAGCTCCAGCTCCCCATGCGGTGACATGAGAGAAGCCTCCCACAAGGATGGTAAAACATCAAAACATCCCCATGGCCAATTCTCTCACATCAGAAGCAACTTGCGGTTTCTCAAGTCGCTCCTGACATGAAACCCCCGTGTTATATAATGATGTAAAATATAGAATCATCTAATAACAATGTAACTGTATATCATAAAAATAATAATAATAATATAATTATAATAATATTAAAAGTATCAATATAAAATAATATATAATAATATATAAAAAAATAAAAGTATAAATATAAAATAATATATAATAATAGTATATAATAATAGTATTTAATAATAAAATAATAGTATATAATAATAGTATATAATAGCGGTTTACAAACTCCACCAAAATTCAGTTATAGTATATAATATTATTAAAAAATAATAGTATATTATAATAATGGTATAAAACAAAAGATAATAATAATAATAATAATAATAATATAATATATAATAATAGGCTTCTCTGGGGGGATGCCGATGAGCACCTGAGCACCATGGGTCTTTCAGGAGGCTGGCTGATGTCCTCGCTCTATGGACCAATGGGGTCTGCTCTCCCTGTCACTATCGTGTCGCTGTGGAAGGCCTGGTCGGTGTTTCCATCTTGCCAAGCAGCCAATATTTTTACCACCTGCCACTTTATCATCTTTTTGGGGACCCTTGATTGGGTACACCTAGGCCATTAGCACTTTATGATACTGCTGCTGTTATTAAAATATTTAGCTGCAAAGCCTTGGTCCCACTGTTACCACTTTATTCGATGAACTCACCCATGGTTTATAACTTGCCTTGCACTTTATAGACTTTAAAAACCTATCCATTCATGCTGCTTCCTAGCCCCCCACACGAAGCACTTATTTTTACACTTTGTGTAGCTGGAAGGGGTTGGGGGAGGCTGGAGAGAACTAGAGATTGCAGAGAAGTGGCAGGGAAAGAATGGGGAAGGAAATCAACTACTGAGGAACAACCACCAAGTCAAATACATACGATCAGGCCATGGGTTGAGGGTGAGGGAGGAGATCATACTGGGGGAGGGGGGAGTTTCAGTGGTCGAGAAGGCCCCATAGAGGTAATATCAGGGAGGGGGAGATATGGGAAAGGGAGACCCAAACAACCAATTCGTCCTAGAGATCGAGAGAGATTATTGATAGTCCCAAAACGGCCTCATGATACGGTAAAACTGAGTAGTCAGGAGGGCAGTCCCTGTAGATCAGTGATTCCCAACCTGTGGGTCCCCAGATGTTTTGGCCTTCACCTCCCAGACATCCTAACAGCTGGTAAACTGGCTGGGATTTCTTGAAGTTTATTTATTTATGATATTTCTATCCTGCCTTTCTCAGCCCGAAGGCAACTCAAGGCAGCTACAGTTGTAGGCCAAAACACCGGGGACCCACAGGTTGAGAACCACTGCTCTAGATTAAGGGTGGTGCTGTTGAACATCAGGTCTGTAAATGGAAAAACAACCGTAATCCATGATTTAATTCTCAAAGAATATGCAGACCTGGCATGCATAAAAGAGGCATGGCTGGTTAAGGCTGGTTAAGGGTGTCAATCTCACCCAACTTTCCTGCCAAACTACTCCGTGCAGTATCAGGTGAGATCTGGAGGGCAGGGAGGCGGGGTCGCAGTGATCTATAGGGATTCATAAATATGTGAGAGGAGTTATAGGGAGGAGGGGGCAAGCTTGTTTTCTGCTGCCCTGGAGACTAGGATGCGGAAAAATGGCTTCAAACTACAAGAAAGGAGATTCCATTTGAACATTAGGAAGAATTTCCTGACTGTGAGAGCTGTTCAGCAGTGGAACTCTCTGCCCCGGAGTGTGGTGGAGGCTCCTTCTTTGGAGGCGTTTCAACAGAGGCTGAATGCCATCTGTCGAAGGTGCTTTGAATGCAATTTTCTGCTTCTTGGCAGGGGGTTGGACTGGATGGCCCATGAGGTCTCTTCCAACTCTATGATTCTATGATTCCATCTCCATGACCAGGTGCCCTATCCCGCAGTCAACTTCGTTTGAGTGTGTCCACCTGAGGGTAGGTGACTGGGACAGAATAGGGATTCTGCTAGTGTACTGACCACCTCGCTGCACTACAGTCTCCCTGCCTGAGGTAGCTGGAGTGATCTTAGGCCTGGCATTGGAGTCCCAACTGCTCATAGTGCTGCGGGACTTCAACGTCTTTGCGGAGACCACCCTGTCAGGAGCAGCTCAGGACTTCATGACCTCTATGGCAACCATGGGGCTGTCCTAACAAGTATCTGGCCTTACCCACAGCTGGGCACACACTAGACTTGGTTTTCTGCCAAGGATTGGAGGAAGATGGTGGTGTGGAGGAGCTGACCACCGCTGTGTTGCCATGGACCAATCATCCCCTGATCAGGTTTAGGCTTACTGTGCCCCCCAACCTCTGCATGGGTGGAGTACCAATTAGAATGGTCTGCCCCAGGAGGCTTATGGATCCAGATGCATTCCTGATGGCTCTTGGGGAATTTCCTGCCACCTTGGTAGGTGATCCTGTTGATGCTCTGGTCACTCTCTGGAATACGGAGATGACTAAGGCAATAGACACAATTGCTCCAGGATGTTCCCTCTCAAGTAGCAGAGCTAAACCATCTCCTTGGTTCTGTGAGAAGCCGGCAGCGATGAAGCAAACGAAGAGAGGTCCCGAGTGCATGTGGCACACCATGTGCAACAAATCAGATTGAACACAGCTATGTCTCTAAGTGCATATGCTGCGGCAATCGATGCTGCAAAAAAAAAAATCTCTCTTTGCGGCCAATATTGCATCTGCAAAGAACCATCCAACGGAGTTGTTTCCCCTGGTCAGAGGGTTGTTAAATCCTGTCCCACCAGACGGATTTGGCAGGGTGGGTGAAGAAGATGGTTAATGTCTCCTTGCAGGAAGGCAAGATTACAGCCAGCTTAAAAGAGGCTGTAATAAAATTGCTGTTGAAGAAAATATCACTGCACCCCACTCAATTGAACAACTTTTGGCCAGTTTTCAATCTCACCTTTTTGGGCAAAGTCTTGGAATGTGTGGTCACCTTGCAACTCCAGGTGTTCTTGCCTAGAGTTGCAGTCTGTCTTTAGACCGGGTCATGGAATTGAAACAGCCTTGGTTGCCTTAGTGGATGATCTGCGTAGGAAACTGGATAGGGGGAATGTGTCCCTGTTGGTTCTCCTGGACCTTTCAGCAGCCTTCAATACCATAAACCCCCTTAAGACGCAGGTTCGCAGCTTGGGAGTTCTCCTGGACTCATTGCTGAGCATGAAACCCCAGGTATCGGCAGTGGCCAGGGGAGCATTCGCAACAATTAAAACTTGTGCGCCAGCTGCACCTATACCTTGGGAAGTCAGACTTGGTGGTCCACTCTATGGTCATATCCTGAATAGATTACAGCAACACACTCTACGTGGGGTTGCCTTTGAAGACTGTTCGGAAGCTTCAAATGGTCCAACGGACTGCAGAAAGGTTGATCACCGGAGAGATGTACAGGGAGCACACAACCCCCCATTACATCAGCTCCACTGGCTGCCAGTCTGCTACCGAGCACAAATAAAGTGCTGGCTTTAGCCTATAAAGCCCTAAACGGTTCCGGCCCAGCTTTCGTCTGAACGTATCTCTTCCTAGGGACCATCTTGGAAATTAAGATTGTCTAGGGAGGCCCTGCTCTCGGTCCTGCCTATGTCTCAAGTGCAGTTGGCAGGGACGAGGGACAGGGTCCTCCTTAGTGACATTAAATCAGCCCCCTCCCTCCGAGCCTTCAGAAGGAAAGTAAAAACTTGGCTTTGGGATCAGGCTTTTGGAGAATAGTCCAGTGCAATAACAGATTTGGAATATGTGCAATGCCTACAGAACGTCTTTGGACTACGATTATGGATAGCATGATTTATATTTAACATAATGTTTTTAATTCTTTTAATGCTTAATGTATATTAATTTTAATTTAATTTTAATGTTACTGGAATTGTATGTGTTTTAAATATTGAATAATTGCCTATATGTAAGCTGCCTTGAGTTCCCTTCAGGGTAGAGAAAGGCAGGGTATAAATAAGATAAATAATATTTGTATTATGGTCTTCCAGGTCTCCTCCCTCCATGGGCGCATTGAGCAAATGGTGGAGGTGGCATCCCTCTGCGGTGTCAACATCATATGCTTCCAGGAGGCTTGGAGTGAGTCTTTCTCCCCCTTCCCTGACATCTGCGCTCTGCACAGGCTCAGAGAAGGCCTTGGTCCTTGTATTCATGGCAATGATGGTAATGAATGATGCCTTTCCTCCTGTCCCTAGCCATGCCCTTTGCCTTCTGCACCAGGGAAAGGCTGCCTTGGACCGAATTCGCAGAATCTGCCGAAGAAGGACCCACCACACGCTTCTGCCAGCAGGTACAGTCATTCAAAGAATAGTAAGAATAAGAATGAGAATAAATATTACAAGAATAAATATAATGATACATACATCACTATTTTTACTTGAATATAATATTATAATAATAACTATAATGATAATTGTCGAAGGCTTTCATGGCTGGAATCACTAGGTTCTTGTGGGTTTTTTCGGGCTATAGAGCCATGTTCTAGAGGCATTTCTCCTGACGTTTCGCCTGCATCTATGGCAAGCATCCTCAGAGGTGTGAGGTCTGTTGGAAGTAGGAAAAATGGGTTTATATATCTGTGGAATGGTTGGGGTGGGGCAATGATATTACATAATGATAATAATGTAATAATAATAAATAGAATGATACATGCATCATTACTGTGGCGGCCATTTTGGATATTTTGATCATTTAGGGCAGCCATTTTGGGTGCTTCAGATACCCACTTTGGCCTTCTGATTGGATGGGGCGAGGAGACATAATGGCTGCCTCCGCCACGCTTCTGTGCGAGAGGCCTCTCTCCTTGCCTGACCCCAAATGCCTGGAGTTAGAATCTCATACAGAGGGTGAGGAGGGAACAAAAGGGCCACCCAAGTTTGCCCCCCCCCCCCCGGACTCTTCAGCCAAGGGACACAAAATGGCAAAATGGCTGCCGTTGGTCTCCTGAGTGTGTTGGATGATGTTTGCAGTTGAGGAGGGAACAAAAGGGCCACCCAAGTGTGCCCCCCCCCCCCCGGCCTCTTTGGCCAAGGGACACAAAATCGCAAAATGGCCGCCGTTGGTCTCCTGAGTGTGTTGGATGATGTTTGCAGTTGGCCAAGAAGTACAAGATGGTGGTGATCTCCCCAATACTGGAGCGGGATGAGGCCCATGGAGGGACCCTCTGGAACACAGCCGTGGTGCTGTCCTCCTCGGGAGCCATCTTGGGAAAGACCCGCAAGAACCACATCCCCAGGGTTGGGGACTTCAACGAGGTAGATATTAGAATATCTGCAATACATGCAATCATACATAGGTCATGGTGATTGCCTGAAAAGAATAATCATATAGAATCCTAACAACAATATAATATAATAATAATATGTACTACTACTACTACTAATAATAATAATAATATACTATATAATAATAATATAATAAGTATAATAATCAATACAGCATTATGATTACCTGAAAATAATTATAATATATAATAATCCCTATAATATAATATAATATAATATAATATAATATAATATAATATAATATAATATAATATAATTAATACAATACAATACAATACAATATAATAATAAAGGCAGCATTATGGTTACCTAATAATTATAATATATAATAATTTAACTATAATATAATAATATACAAGCAATATAGCATTATGATTACCTGAAAATAATTATATATAATAACAAGAATATAATAATAATAATATAATAAAGACAGCATTATGTTTACCTAAGCATAATATTTAATAATAACTAGAATATAATAATAGTATATAACAATAAATACAGCATTATGGTTACCTGAAAATAATTATAACATATACTAATAAGAATACAATATAATAATAAAGACAGTGTTATGATAACCTGAAAATAATTATAATATATAATAATCACTATAATATAATATAATAATATATAATAATATAGACATTATGATTACCTGAAAATAATAATAATATATAATAATAATAAATGTAATAATACAGCATGATTACCTGAAAATAATAATAATAATATAATATAATGATAATAAATATAATAATAAAGATATGATAATTACCTGAAAATAATAATGATAGTTATATGATAATGATATTAATATAATAGTATATAATGATAATAATATAATGATAATAAATATAATAATCAAGACAGCATTATGATTACCTGAAAACAACAACAACAACAACAAAAATAATAATAATAATAAGTCAAGTAAATATTTCCGATTTGATGACTATTTCTCCTTTGGAAGTCGACGTATTACATGGAGGGGGATCTGGGCCACCCGGTGTTTGAGACGGAGTTTGGCCGCCTTGCTGTCAACATCTGCTATGGGCGCCATCACCCGCTCAACTGGCTCATGTTCAGTCTCAACGGTGCCGAAATCATCTTCAACCCCTCGGCCACCATTGGGAAGCTCAGGTAATAGCAAGCCACTGCCCCCTTGCTCTCTGGTGCACGTCCGCTCCGGGTTTGCAGTCTGAACATTGAGCCCTTTCCCTTACAACAGTGAATCCTTGTGGCCCATCGAAGCGAGGAACGCCGCCATTGCCAATCACTGCTTCACTTGCGCCATCAACCGCGTCGGAACGGTAAGCCCTCCAGATTCATAATATTTTTTTACTCCCTTTTAAAACATTATTGTTTTATTTATTACAAGCTTGGGTATCCGGTGCCTGGGTTATTTGAAAAAGGGATTGTTTGTTTTGGCGTGTTAGGTAATATCATTTAGTTAATTAGTAACACTATTTATTAGAAAAAAGCCAGTCTTTGATTTCGTTTCTTATTAATGCATACATAACGATGTGGGTGAACTACAGTTCCCAGCATTGTGGGTCAGACCGTCCCAAACAGGCCTGTATGCACAGCTGATCATATTGGGTCTGTGTGTCAAGTATGGTCCAGATCTGTCGTCAACTGAGTTCAGTGCTCTCTGGATAAGGGTGAACTACAACTTTTACAATATATGCCCAAGGCAGTCATCCCCTAACCCTGCCAGTATTAACAGTTGGTCATGTTCTGTCTGTGTGCCAAATTTGGTCCAGATACAATGTTGGCTGGGCTCAGTGCTCTCTTAATGCAGGTGAACTACAACTCCCGAAATCAATATCAATTCCAATATCAGTTGATTATGGGGCTTCTCTGTGCCAAGTTTGGTCCTGGTCCATTTTCGGTGGGTATCACAGTTTCTCTAGATGCAGGTGAACTACAACTCTCAGATTCCAAGGGCAGTAACCCCCAAACTCCACCTGCATTCACAGTTGGACATGTTGGGTCTGTGTGCCAAGTTTGGTCCAAATCCATTATTGATGGGGTTGAGAGTGAGAGCAGAAGTGAAGGGAACCTCTGAGATAACTTGGGGGTTTGTGTCCAGGATTTCGGGGGTGGAGGGATTAGGGTGCACAACGGGACTTTTGGGATCCAGCCACACATCCCTCAAGGGTCAGAAGGAGCAGCGTACCAACTGAAGTGAGAGTCAGGTGCCTGCAATCAAAGAAAAACCACCTTTGGATGTATTGTCGAAGGCTTTCATGGCCAGAATCACTGGGTTGTTGTAGGATTTTGGGCTATATGGCTATGTTTTAGAAGCGTCCTCTCCTGACGTTTCGCCTGCATCTATGGCAGGCATCCTCAGAGGTTGTGAGATCAGTTGGAAATGTTTCCAACAGACCTCACAACCTCTGAGGATGCCTGTCATAGATGCAGGCAAAACATCAGGAGAGAATGCTTCTACAACATGGCCATATAGCCTGAAAAACCTACAACAACCCACCTCTGGTTGTTCGCAGTTTTAACCAGCTGTCAATGGGGTGTGTGTTGCTTTGATTCAGTGAAGAAGCAAAGGGGGGGGGGTGGATTCCCCCTCAGGGAAAACCAGAATGTCAAGACAGGTGAGTATGAAAACAAAGGGGAACAGGGACACTTAGAATAGTTAGCTGCAGATAACCTAAGAGAGTACCATAGTAGTCCACGCTAAGAGTAGTACCTAAGTAGTCCACGCTCTGGTTACATCCCGTATAGACTACTGCAACACTCTCTATGTGGGGTTGCCTTTGAAGACTGTCCAGAAGCTCCAAATGGTCCAACGAGCGGCAGCCAGGTTGCTAACGGGAGTGAAGCTCAGTGAGCACACGACTCCTCTGTTGCACCAGGTCCACTGGCTGCCAGTCTGCTACTGGGCACAATTAAAAGTGCTGGCTTATAAAGCCCTAAACGGTTCCGGTCTGGCTAACCTATCCAAACGTATCTCTCCTTATGAACCATCTAGGACTTTAAGGACTTTAAGATCATCTGGGGAGGGCCTGCTCTTGATCCCGCCTTCCTCGCAGATGCGTTTGGCGGGGATGAGAGACAGGGCCTTCTCAGTGGTGGCCCCTTGGCTATGGAACACTCTTCCCAGGGATATGAGATCAGCTCCCTCCCTTCTAACTTTCCACAAAATGGATAAGTCCTGGCTCTTCAAGCAAGCTTTTACTATTGTAGCATAATTAGACGAAAATGAATACATGGAACGATCGACGATGCAATTGGACAACGATTTTAGTAAGGAGACGCCGAGGATTTTGTTTTTACAGACATTATTGTTTCTTTTATGTTACATTTTAAATGTTGAATTGTTTTTATAATTATTTTAACTGCATTTTTGATCATTGTTATGGCATCGAATCGTTGCCGACTGTGAACTGCCTTGAGTCGTCTCTGGCTGAGAAAGGCGGTATACAAATGCGGTAAATAAATACCGGGGGAGGCATTCAGAAGCTCTGAAGCTGCTCTGAATAAAGTAAACACGGTCAGCGCTGGGGAGAAATTTGTGAAAAAGGGAGTTTCCGATTGTGCGGGACTCTCTGGTATTGTCTGACTTCCTGAGAACAGGGTAAGAAGACGAGTCAGTAAACAAGTGTACATTTGGGGAGGGGGGGAGGTATGTGTGTGTGGATTTGTGTAGTGTGAATCTTGACTAACGTTTCCTAAAGAGTGTAAACAAAAAGCTGTGCGCCCCTCTTGGGAGGTTTCTTTGACAGTATGCATGGGTGAAAAGAAAAAAGAGAAGTTGGAAAGTGGCCGCGTTTCGTTGGAATGTGTGTACGTGATGAGATGTGTACACGGCAGTGTGACAAGCTCAGTGTATCTTTACGTCTCTGACTGTCATTCATGGTCACCTGCTTTCCTTCTGTAACTGTATATTCGCATAACATGAGAGGGGGAGGAAGGAGAAAGCAGCTGCATTTTAAAGGGTGCTCAAAATGGCCATTCGGTAACTGTTTGAGACTCAGAGTGGACATTGTTTAAAGAAAATCTGAAAAAGGCTAAGTTGTGCTGTGGGAAAATTGCGGGAAGATAAATTGGGAGTCGTCCCCCCCCCCCCCCCGGCACATGGGTTAAACCACTGATCTGCTGAACTTGCTGATCGAAAGGTCACAGGTTCGAATCTGGGGAGTGGTTTGAGCTCTGGCTGTTAGCCCCAGCTTCTGCCAACCTAGCAGTTGGATAACATGCAAATGTGAGTAGATCAATAGGTACCGCCTTGGTGGGAAGGTAACGGCGCTCCATGTAGTCATGCCAGCCACATGACCTTATTACGGTTGCTTATACCCCGCCTTTCTCACCCCGAGGGGGACTCAGGGCAGCTTACACAACAAGGCACAATTCGATGCCCGCATTACATGACAACAAAAACATAACATCAATAACAATAGCAATTATAGCAATGATAACAATTAACATAAGCAATCATTATTCATGGCAAAACATCCAAAAAACCCATAAAAGCAATTAAAACAATTAAAATAATAAAAGCAATACAAACCTCATTGCTGGTCAGCGTTTAACAGACTCATAGTTTAGGTTCTACTTTCCGCACATTTCCGACCTTGAGGTTTCTATGGACAACGCCGGCTCTTTGGCTTAGAAATGGAGATGTGTACCACACCCCAGAGTCGGACACGACTGGACTTAATGTCAGGGGAAAACCTTTACCTAAATTGGGAGCCCCCAGTAGTGCAGTGGGTTAAACCACTGATCTGCTGAACTTGCTGATCGAAAGGTCACAGGTTCAAATCCAGGGAATGGCGTGAGCTCCCTCTGTTGGCTCCTGCTTCTGCCAACCTAGCAGTTCGATAACATGCAAATGTGAGTAGATCAATAGGTACTACTTCTGTGGGAAGGTAACAGCTCTCCATGCAGTCATGCTGGCCACATAACCTTGGAGGTGTCTACGGACAACGCCGGCTCTTTGGCTTAGAAATGTAAACGTGAGTAGATCAATAGGTACCGCTTCTGCAGGAAGGTAATGGTGCTCCATGCAGTCATGCCGGCCACATGACCTTGGAGGTGTCTATGGACAATGCCGGCTCTTTGGCTTAAAAATGCAAATGTGAGTAGATCAATAGGTACCGCTTCTGCGGAAAGGTAATGGCACTCCATGCAGTCATGCTGGCCACATAACCTTGGAGGTGTCTACGGACAACGCCGGCTCTTTGGCTTAGAACTGCAAATGTGAGTAGATCAATAGGTACCGCTTCTGCAGGAAGGTAATGGCACTCCATGCAGTCATGATGCCCACATAACCTTGGAGGTGTCAACGGACAACGCCGGCTCTTTGGCTTAGAAATGGAGATGAGCACCAACCCCCAGAGTTGGACATGACTGGACTTAATGTCAGGGGAAAACCTTTACCTTTACCTAAATTAATCTTGGTTCTGAAATGCTTAATCCCTGTCCTATTTTGCTTCATTGTTCCTGTGTCTCTGAAAAGAGGAAGGTACTTTTCTGATTGAGAGGTATAGACATGAAAAATCCTTTTGTAAAATAAAAATACTAATACAGCAGCTTTCTTACAATAATTTCTGATGAAAGGTTGGAAGTCATACAATAGAGATAATGGGAAGAACATGTATCTGGGCAAATTTTGGGTAGATAAGGGTGATGGCTGGCTTGCAGCCCAGATTTGGACATCTGCCCATCCCAGTACATGTCAAATAAGAAACTAAGGGTCTTTGTTCCCCAGAGGAAAGAAAAAAAAATGTTTTCAGTCATTTTAAAATCCTGCTGCAATACCCATCATCTCAACCAAAATAGGATCTGCAAGTAAGCAAGTCACAATTTTCCTTTCCTGGTAAGAGAACGTTATTTCCTGTTAAATGGTGCAGGCATCTTGCAGGAAAAAAAATGTGACAGTGTTTTCTGTGCTCCAAGATGAGTGTGTTTTCAGACTGAGATTTATATGCAGAGTTCATTTGAGAAGGCTGTGGAATAGTCATGATTTTCATCTGTGCACTAAATTTAATTTTCTGAAGATGAAAACTCATTTGATAACACAGCCTTGTTCAAAACATCAAAACAATCTGTCTAATAAGGCCCTTGCTTGGAGTACCTTGTTTTCATAACATTGGCATGAATTAGATTGATGTGCTTTAATCTTGTGTTTATGTTCCTTAATGTATGCGTTTAAATGGTTGTAGGGTTCCAATCTCTGTATTTTATGTTGTGTCACACCAACGAAACTATAACGCTTTGTTCTAGAGAGATTGCCAAAGTTCTTAAGGAGAAAAAAAAAAAGTATGTTTTCAGACAGTGCATTTTAAAATTCCAA